GGAAAGGTCGCTGGATGCAGGAATCAGGAGCCACAAAGCCCCGAAGTCCACTGTCGCCGTCCTTCTGGGACACACTGAGTTCTTTTTCCAACATAACCATCTGGATGGACAAAGGCTGGCATAAGTAATGGCGAGAGCCAACAGCTGGCGGCGTGTGGCACACCCCGTGGGACAGCCCTTTCTGCACACTCACTACCTACCTTCTCTGCACTGTGACCCGACTGTCAGACAAGGAGCCCAGCCCTGCACACACGGTTTCTCACTGCGCAAATCCTCCTGCCACTCTGCTCCCTCTCCCCGACGGGCCTGGAGATCCCACGCTAACACACACTGCGTGACATCACACCTGAAGCCCCATGAGGTGCTCCACTGCCTGGAGGCCACACTGCACACTGACCACCATGACCCACCACCATCGAGAGCACCGGCAGCACAAGTGCCATGCCCACTGCACGCCTCCACAGCCCCACAACCCTGTGTGGCGAGGATGCCACAAGGCACACAGCTCGCTGTGCCAACCCAAAACGCACAGCTGGCCAGGCCAATCACGCTCCACCTCCAGGACCAGGACCAGGACCGGGACGGATAGAAGATGCCAAGCGGGCTTGAATAGAGCATCTAAACTTGGGGCAGCGATGGCCACCTTGCGCTGACCTTTCCACCTTCTCTGCCCTCCCTACCCCGCCCGGGGCCTGGCTCAGGGCGGGTGTGCGCCGCCTCTGTTGTGAGCTCCCCCAGCCTGTCCCCGAAGCTCCAGGGCTGCCCCCAGAGCTGGTGCACGTGCCCACAGACCCCTCCTGGGCTCGGGTGCTCTGTGCCACTTCCCACTGCTCCCTGCATGCTGCCTGGCCCTGTAAGAGCCGCATAAGAGCCTGCCAGGTTCCTGTGCACCGTGTCTGAATGGCGCAAGGCTGCAGTGAGGGGCTGAGAGGAACAGGGCTGGGAGGGAGGAGCACACACCAAGGAACGGCAGAGCCGGTCTCCTCCTCCTCAAGGCTGGCCTTGAACTTAGGATTCTCCTGCCTCAGCCTCCTGAGTGCCTGGCTTAAAGGTTCCTATTTTATGAACCAGAAGCTTGAGTCTTTACAATACTCTGCACTCCACGTACAAACATGAGCTGTCAAAAACTAGAAACGGGCTGGGGATTTAGCTCAGTGGCAGAATGCCTGCCTAACAAGCAGGCAGCCCAGGAAGCACGCACATGCGCACGCGCGTGCACACACACGTGCGCGTGCACACACACACTAGAACTAAAAAAAAAGTCTACATAGTGCTTCCTGCTCTCAAAAACACCATTTGTGCTTCATCACCTGACTCCAGTACAAAAAGCGCTGCCCTCATTTCTCTTAGGTCTCTTAACAACTGCCACACAGCTGGAGGACTTGTTTGCTCCCACAGCTGAAACCTGCAGCCCTGCAGAGTTTAACAGACGCTTCTGTCTGCATCAGGTAAGCTCCTTGCAGGAAGGTGAGCGGATAATCACTCGGACCCATTTCTCTGGGACCAGCTACCTGCTCTCAACTCTTCCCACCCGAGCGGTGGCCCACAGCCCGGGGCGGCTGGTTCTCTCTGCTTCCTTCTGCCTGCCTGCACGGGTGCTGCTAGGGAGGCCCCGCTAGGGAGGACCCGGCAGAAGCTCCGGGTACCAGTGTGGATTCACCCGACATCCCACACACGGAAGCAGCAGTGCCCTGCTGCGGGCCAGGGAGGCGTCCCTGCGCCCACATGACTGCACGCTCAGCCTGACAGCTGCTCAGAGGCAGGTAAACTTGTCGACACGAAATATGCGAGCGTACCGTGCTCTAGACAAACATCTCTTAAGGCCTTTGCAATCAGTTACCAGTGCTTGGGGCTGGTGAGATGGCTCAGTGGTCTAAAGCCTACTTAGAACAAGCTGAGCAAAGCACAGGGACCGCGGTTCAATCCCCCAGCACCACACACCAGCCAGCCCGCCCCCTGGTGGGCTGAGCTGGCCACACACACACACACACACACACACATAAATAAAATTAAAAAAAAAAATCAGTCACCAGTGCTATCTTTTCCTCAGAAGGAAGCACTCCAGGCTGGGGAGACAGCTGGGAGGTCTAAGCACCTGCCTGGCAAACACAAGAACCAGAGCTCAGTTCCAGATACTGCATGCCACATGGGCCGGCGTGCTGGCCCTGAAACCAGGCGTGGTGGCCCACACCTGCAATCCCAGCGCTGGGGAGGCTGAGACCGGAGGATCGCTACAAGTCTCAGCTGCGTAGTGAGATGCTGTACCAAGTAAATAAATAGGAGAAGAAAAGGGCTGATGAGACAGCTCAGCATACTAAGCGCCTGGTTAGGCAAGCACAGGGACCGGGGCTGGCTCCACCCCAGGCGCAGAGTCAGCCACCTGAGGCCCAGCTTGGTTGTGCATGCCTGTAATCCCAGTGCTGGGAGGCTGAAAACAGCACAATCACTGAGTTCAAGCTGCATAGCGAGACCCTGTTCCAAATACACTAAATAAAATTAAAAAAGAAGCACTAACAGTCAAGAAGGAACACTTCTCTGGTGAAACCGCAAACACTTTGGTTGTTACAGATAAGCCATTCTAACTTCCAAAATCAAATAGCAAGCTTCACAGAAATGCCAGCCATGTAGAAAAATGGTTGGTGTTTTGTTTCTTTTTGTTTTTTTGTTTTTTTTTTTGGCGGAACCGGGGATTAAACTCAGGCCCTTGCACTTGCCAGGCAAGCACTTATTCTACTGAGCTATCTCCCCAGCCCCAGAAAAATGGTTGTTAATCAACATTCAACTACCCTCAAGCCACTTGGAAATGACATATTCAAAAAAAAAAAACAAAAACTTGGTAGCATTAAGGGAAGTTTTTAAATTTTAAACCCACTAAAGATTAAGAATGTAAAGCTCAATGTTAATTATCTTACGTAGCAGGGACGGCTCTTAGAACTTCCTGAAAACATACAAATAACACTACTAGTGCACAGGCTGCAGATGGCTCCCTTCCACCCACTTCTTACAGAGCTATGCACATGAAACAATTCTGCTTCTAAACTCCCTTCATGAGATACAAGACACGCTGTCACCTCTACTCCAGGGTGTGGGAGTGCGCCTGTAATCCCAGCTCCCAGGAGGCTGAGGCAGGAGGACCTCGAGTCAAGGCCAGCCTGGGCTACACAGCAAGACGCTGGCTAAAAACAGAAGAGAAAAACCACACCGGAGAATCAAAGCACTGAAGAGCGCACGAGGCCTCCCAGAGCCGCAGCACGGCTCCACAGCTGCTTGCTGCCAAGGCAGCTCCTCCGTCAAGCGGAAGGCACTAGGCCAGATCAGGCCTCAGCTGGACGGACACTCTGGAGCAAACCCATTTCCACGTCCTCCTCGGGCGGCTCGGGAGGGGCGGGCTGAGAAGTGACCGAGGGCTGCCTTCTGAGCTGTCTGCTGACCAGCTTCCTTCCTGCTTCCCTCCCTTACCTTGCTGTCCTTCCCTAAATGAGGACAGCGGTCCCATGCTGTGTGACATTTAACACACAATGGCCACTACCACGTAGCACTGGAGGTTTCCAGGGGGTCAGAGGATGCCACGGTGACTACTGCTGAATGTGATGCTGCTCCTGTCTGCAGGGACCGTAGAAATGTTTGTCCATTAACAAGAGAAAGAAGGAAGCGTCCCACGAAGGGGCTGTCTCGGGACGAGTCTCACAGGTAACTGCCGTGTCCAAGGACCAACTGCCTTCCCCAGAGTTCCTCAGGAGACCACAGAGGACGCCAGGAGCTGCTGTCTCCATCCTCCCTGCCCCGGGGACACAGCCAGCCCCGTTCTAGGAGCAAGGGACAGAGGCTAGCTCGCCACAGGCTGGGGAGCTCAGGCAGCAGCAATTCAGAGGCCAGAGGCTGTGTTTGAGCCCTGGAAAAACGAAACGGTTAACACCCAGCCGGGATCAGTTCTTGTACTTTCCAGAGAGGGAAAAAACATAGTTAGGCCTGCTGGCCTAGAAAACTTTAACTCTGACACAGCCCATAAGCCCACCGCCTCAGTCACGGGACTGGCATCTTTATGCACATGTGGAATGCATCACAAGTCGTTCTTCTTTTAATAGAACTCAGCCATCAAGAAGAATGAAATTCTGTCATGTGCAGAAATGCAGATGGGACTGGCGGTCACTCGGGCGAGTGAGAGAAGCCAGGCTTAGAGCAATGCTGGACGCCCTTCACGCCCTCACTCCTAAGGAACAGCCGATGTCAAAGAAGCTTCGAGGAGGACAGGGTCTACCAGGGCCTGGGAGGAGGGTGCCTGAGGAAGTCAGGGGTGCGGTGCGCAGGAGGGAAGGGAGGAAGGGCTTCGAGGCTCGGAGCATCGGAGTGGCAGCGATCAGCTGCATGCTTGCAAGAGCTGCTAGGAGGATCCCCAGCGTCTCCACACGGCGCGACAGATACCAGCCACTCTATCTGATCCTGACACTGCGTGTGCGCTGAAATGGCACGCTGCACCCCACAAATAGGTTCGGCGACCACACGTGAATGAAAAACACCCGAGAGCTGGGGACGTGGCTCAGAGGGAGCGCGGGCCCCAACGCCGCGGTTCCAGCGCCGTGCAAGGCCCGCAGCCCACCCAAGGGTGCTGGGGAAAAGTGGGCGCTCACAGGCCTAACTTCCCGGCTCAGCGGATACCTGAGTGCCCCACGCAGTCCTGGGCTGGGCCCGGGTCTGACCTGGGCCCCCGGGTGGGGCGGGCCGGAGCACAGCCCTTCCGGCCGCGCTAACAGCGAAGACCAGGCGGCATCTGCCCCGCGCTCCCCGGAGACCGGCCACACCTAGCCTTACCGTGCGAATGCTCGCGGCCACACGGGCACGGAGACCCTGGCCCACGGCGGGGTGGCATCCAGCTGGGTGTCACCGGATCGCTCTGCCGGGCCTCCCCCAGAGCCACCTAACCAGCGGGAATGGGGTTGGGGGACACCCCAGGCGCCCAAGAGACCCCTCCCCAGGGCTCTCCCCAGATCACTCCCAGGATCGCGCGCCCCGAAGGCCCCGCCCTGGAGGCCCCGCCAGGACCCCTTTCCCAGCTGCCCCCACCCAGCGAGCCCTCGCCCTCCCGCAGCCCCGCCCTCGGACGCCGCCCAGCGCCCCCTCCCCGTCCCCGACCCCTGTCCCGCTGCCGCTCACCGCCGTGAGTTCCGGCAGCCGGTCCCGCATCCCCGCCGCACGGGCGGCGCACACCTCTACTCAGGCCTGGCCGGCGCCGCCTCTGGCCGGGCCGCAGGCTCTCGGTGGCCGCGTCGCCGCCTCTACGCGCCACTGCCCAGGCCCGGCCGCGCCCTCCCTCCAGCGGCGCTGTCACGGCAACCGCGCCCGGAGCCGCGCGTGCGCAACACGCCGGCCTGCCCCACCCCCTCCCAAAGAAGTCTTGGGGCGGGGCCTAGCGTGTGGGGCGGGGCCTAGAGCATGGGCGGGGCCTGGCGGCGTGAGGGCGGGGCCTGGGTGCGTGGGGCGGGCCGGGGTGCGTGGGGCGGGCCGGGGCGCGGTGGGCGGGGCCCGGGGCGGGGGCGGGGCCTCTGGGCCTGTCCTGTCCGCTGGCTAGGCGCGGCTCTCTCCGTCCCGAGCCTGCCGGTTCACCGCCCTTGTTTATTAGAACGTCAGCCGTCGGGGAGCACGGCGAGCCCAGCGAGGCCACCAGGACGAGTTGGCGCAGCGTCAGGTCACGCACCGCGCGCGAGCCTCCATCTTCCACCCGCGACCTTGGCAGAGAACCGCGTCCCCGGCCGGTCCGGCGCCGCGTGCAGAGGCCAGCGCCCTGCCCCGCCTGCACCCCGAGGCCAGCCCCGCCTGCACCCCGAGGCCGCGCTCGGAGCGCGGAGGGGCAGGGCCGCGGCCGGGCAGCGGTCGCTCGGCGTCCTCCGAGGGCGTCGGGCTTCCGCGGAGGGCGCAGGGGAACGCAGGTCAGTCTGCAGCAAGGACGCCCGCCCTTGGTGTGCTGGGGCAGCCGTCCCTCCTACTCGTCCCTGAGGTTTGTGCATGAAGTCGCGATAACCTGATGCCTGTGGGTTGAACAAAAGTTCTATTTTCTCCCAGCGCTCGGGACGCTGAGGCAGGAGGATCTCCATGAGTTCAAGGCCAGCCTGAGCTACATGGGGAATTCAAGGCCAGCAGTACCCTGTCTCGAAAACAAACAGAATTCTCTACTTTGACCATGGCCTAAAAATTAGATGGGGGAAATTTATGCAGAACTTGTCTGAGAGTGAAGTTAATATGGAGAAGATAAAATTGGAGAATTTTTTTTAAAGGAGGGGTGCCCCCCCCCAAGCAGCCCCGGAAGCCGGCACTTCAGGACCTGTGCAGGCCAGTCGGTTTCCTCTTCAGGCTCCTCAACTGGAGAGCAGCAGCCCTGATGCACGGCTAGAAGCATGAACACAGGCGACAGATGGCAGACCACGGGAAGAGCGACTTCTAGATGGCTCCAGGGAACAGGACGTTAGTCTGCGTCGCCCGCTGCTATGGCCAGTGACAAGGCATCGGGCACACAGGCACACACGTTTGTAGAAAAAATAGGGATTACGGTAGTCCCTCGCCATTTCACAGTTCGACTTTCACGGACTATTTCATGGGTTTTAAAAAAAACTAAATTATTCATCGTGGATTTTTTGCTATATCTCAGGATTCTGCAGTATTGTGTAGTACTGTGTACATATTTATATGCATAATGATGTTGCCCCAAAATTTAAATTATATAAACATATTAAAATATGAATTCTAACATAAAAGAATATTAAATCGATATACACTGTTCACAACATGTATTTCTTGAGCAGATGAATACATACCATACCGTACAGTATACCTATGTTGTTAAAATTAGGAAGGTTTGCGAGTTTAGAAAATGGTAAGAACATTAGAAGTGTTTTTAAAAGTGTGTGAGGAAGGCTTATAAAGCCTTAAGATAGGGGCTGGTGAGATGGCTCAGTGGTCTAAAGCACCAACTTAGAACAAGCTAAGCAAAGCACAGGGACCGCAGTTCAATCCCCCAGCACCACATGCCAGCCAGCCCCGCCCCCTGGTGGGCTGAGCTGGCCACACACAAAAATATAAAAAATAAATAAAATAAATAAATAAATAAAAATTAAAAAAAAAGCCTTAAGATAAATAAACATACTAAAATAAATATAACCGTGCTGCTTCGCCGACTTCCCTCATCCTGGTGCCTGGGCTGTCACCTCCACCGCAGGTCGCTGCGTTCAGAGCTGCTGGCCGTCGTCCTCTTTCTTGTCCCTGCCTTCAGAGTCACGCTTCTCCAGACCCGAGTTTTCCCCTCTCTTGAAGCCATGGGATTAAAGCTTTCAAGCCGAAAAGCTGTAAAATTCCATTTTAAGTCCTCTGTGTTTCCAGAGGCTTCGGTACGCCTCACTAATCCTACACATCAGTTGCGTGTCCCGAGTAGCTCACAGATGCTTAATGCCTGTTGTCAGAAATGGCACACAGTTTTGAAAACAGCACAGCCAGCGCGGGGCATGTAGCTCAGCAGTGCAGCGCCTGCCTGGCAAGCACAAAGTCCTCAGTTCAATTCCTAGCGCCCAAAAATGAAAAATAAAAAAACCGCAAAACCACGTGATACAATGTATTATAAACTGAAAAAGCTGCCAGCCGGATAGGTCAGTGGACTAAGCGCCTGCTTTGGCAAGTGCTGGGACCAGGGTTCGATCCCACGTCCCGCATGCCACAACTGGTGCCACTCCCGAGGCGCACTGAGCTGGCGAATGAGGAGGCTAAAAACAGCAGGATCCCTTCAAGTCTGAGCTGCATACTAAATACATTTTTTAAAAAATGCATAAACTGAAAAAGTGGATTGAAATATATCTGGCTGGGGATATAGCTTAGTGGCATAAGCGGCTGCCTGGCAAACACGAGGCCCTGAGTTCGATCCCTGGTACCAAAGAGAAAGAAAGAAACTTGTATCTGGTCATTAAAAGAAAAATAAGGGGCGCTGTCATGGTGGGCACGCTGAAGACCACTGGCCTTGGGGTCGGCCCACGAGAGGCTAAGGATATTGTACACAAAGATTCTTGGGGTTCTTGATCAAATTCCTAAAAGTACTGTATATAGAAAAGACCCAGAACAAATTACAAATGAGAGGCTGGCTATAGTGAAAGCGGAACCAGATGGCAAAAAATAAGAAGACCGGCTTCAGCTTGGCCAAGTAGGAGGGGTGATTCTCTGGGCTGAAAGTGACCTAGGTCTGGGAGGAAAACGATGCAGAGGAAGCCGAGGGGGCCGCCCGCGGAGGGGGAGCCCCCTGCCAGCCGGGGAAGGGCCAATTAATTGTCATTTCCTGCCTTTGATGGTTGATGGGACTGTGATAGAATTCAATGTTGTTATATCAAACTTTCTGTTATTTCTTATCCAAAAAAGGATACAGCATAACAGGGTACGCAGGAGTCTTGCTAAGCTTTAGTAGTACAGTTGTATGGGTCAGTTTCTGGCTGGCCTGCACTCAAAGTATTCCTTTGAACAAAGAGGTTGTAGGAAGACTTGAAAGTTAATTAGAAAGTTCCCACAGATTATCACTAGAGGCTACAATCAAAAGATGAAGTATCTTCATTAATATCTTCAATGTATTATTTCTTTATCATAAAAAAAGAAAAGATACTTTTCCTGGTCACTGTTTAAAGTGCAGCAGTAACAAATACATTGAAGTGAGAAAAATGGCAGAAATAGTTCATGTTAAAATTTATTTATTTATTTATTTATTTTTTTGCAAAACAAAACGTATCACTTTATTTCAAACTTTACCTAAAACTGTAAAAAGTGTTAAAAATGTGTGGTTATTAGTTTCAAATACAACTTCCAATTCACAGGCAGGTGAGGAGGGAGGGTCAAAGCCCTGCCTATTGCGCAGGTGAGGGGAGCCGGCGGTGGGGGCCAGCATGGCCGAGCCCCTCCCCCAGGGCGCTCCTTTGCAGCGGAGAAGAAACGTTTACCATCTTGAAACGTGTCCAGGAACGCCGGGCATGAACACGTAGCAGGCAGTTCCTGACCACCGGGGCTAGGGCCTGGCCCCCTTTTTTTAGCGGGGAGGACGGGGCACAAGTCCGCTGCTGCTTCCTCCTCCTCTTCCTCAGAAACATCATCGCTTAAAGTAACAATGTGGTGCGGGCCGGTGACCCGCACCCGGCCGGAGCCCGACCTCAGGCGGGAGGTTACAGGCGGCTGGAGCCGGAAGTCCCCCAAGCTGAGCACGGGCTGGCGCGACAGCCTGAGCTTGGCGGCGGGGAGCGCGGTCTCCTGGCGGGCGTGGGCGTGGTTCCGGCCGCCACCTCCGCCACCTCCGCCCCCCCCGCCCCGCCCGCCCCGCCCGCCCCCGCCCCGAG